TGGAAAAAATTAATTTTTAAAATTTATATATACAGTTTTCTGTACACTTTACAGATATATATTTGACAATCTATTTTATTATTTTGGATAGTCGAGAGTAGCTGCATTTGCAATTTTGCTATAATAGTTATATTTTCTGAATTTGTATGTTTGACTTTCTGTCACAATTTCTTTTCTTTTTTTAGAGAGAGCGAATAAACATCAAGTGTAATTTCTACAGCTAAGACCTCTTTCTCTCTCTCTCCCTCTCTCTCTTGTTGGTACATGGTAATAAATCTCTACCCTACCATAATGCTACTAAATCGATTATGGTGATGTTCTGGTTTTTAGGTAGATGGCAAGTTATTGTGTTGGCTCTGTACATTGTCGTATAAACGAGCATTGGCAAAGACAAAGCAATCAGATGCAGAGAGAAGGGCGCATATGAAAATGGCACAACAACGGGCTGCAAAACACAAAGAACAAAAGTAATTATTCAAATACATAATGTCACAAGGTAACTCTGCGCTTGGTAGCCTTAATATCGCGTGGACATTACAATTTTTCAAATCTATGCAAGACATGTTTTCGGTAAACTTTGCAAGTTGCATCAGCGGAACTCTCGTTTATGTTTCACGCTTTCCATTGTAGGTTAAAAGGCCACAATAAAAGACCGCACAGAGTCGATGTGACGAAGTTGCCGCCGCAATCTGAGGGCGGAGACACGAATGGTCCCACTCCCGTGAAAGCGGCGCGGATGGTTGGAATGCACGATCCGCACGATCCAAACAGTTCGGATCACGTTGTGGCGGTTACGCAACTCAAAGAAAAGATAGCGCATCTTCAAAAGCAAATTAGTATAAAAGACAGTCAATTACTAGCAAAAGATAGACAAGTGCGTAAATAAATTCCCGGAAGTTCCCGTTTCCCGAAACAGATAAGAGTGATAAAATAAATACCGACATTTTGATTGCAGATTACCGAACTTAAGGCGAAAAATTTCACATCCGAGACCGAGCTGCGCAATAAAATGAAAGCATCGGAAAAGGAATATGAAGCGAAAATTTCTAATATGCAGCATAAGATATCTAGTTTGCTGAAGGAAGTAGCGTCGTTATCGAAAACTTCTAAGCGAGGTGATCGGGTGGCCGCTACCAAGACAGAAGCTGGGACCAACAGTGGGAGTGGAACAGACAGTCCTGTACCTTGATAAGGTAAGACTATCAGATTTTTGCTAATTTTTAACGGCATGCATTAAACATCCAAAATGCGATGGTGACGTATAAAGTAACGCGTCAATCGATATATTTTGCAACAGCTGGTGTGAAGTGAGTCCCGTTTCTCGTATTGTTTCCAGGGAATTGATTAACTGACAACCTACTCGAATGTCCATACCCGCATAAATCACACATGTGGTACATTACGCATATAGTTAATTGTTTCCATTAACAGGGCGAAATCGTATTATTTTTCTAATTACTATAGAATTGTATATTATATTCTCTCACAATATGTGTACTGGAAAAAAGACTTACTCGCATCTCCATTTAGGGGAGATCAATGATGCAAGTGCAAAATTTATATGTAACAATTTAGATAGCTTCCTTTTCTTTTATTTTTCGACAACTGCAAGCCTTGCACGGCTGCAGTTTGCCAACAGTATCAGTTTTTATGGCGAAAAATTAGCAAAATTTGAATCTTAAAGAAAACAAATTATTAAATGATCTTGTTTTATGGCACGAAATTATGAAAGATTTCGGGCTCGCATCGACAAATTCGAATCGATGGATTGCACGTATGTATATACATACATATGTGTGGATATAATAAGTGACACGCATGCGCGGATAACGTTGCTGTGGCATTTTATTATTTATAATAATGATGTAACAGCGATGAATCAGGATATGGTGATTGTAGATCAATTTACAATAAAAATTTGGAAACCAATTGCCCTGATGGTTCCACTCCTGTGGCTTCAATCCTGTGGTATCAACGTCACATCCATATCCATGTCTTTTTCTTCTCGTATGTAATCGAATTATAATCGAACATAATTTCGTTTTCATTATCCGACCATTAACAACACAAGAAATAATATTATATTGTAACAACGTATGGGGATGTGATAGTGATATAGTGCATATAAATATCCAACAGCCATATATTTATTCTTTATTTTAAGAAACAAATGCTAATTGAGCATTACCTATTTAATAATAATGATAATAAATGCGTAACAATTTCACTGTATACATATATATACATATATATACATATATATATATACATATATATACATATATATATACACACATACATACATACACAAAGTGTAAGGATAATTAACATTTAATTTATAGTCGCGTTTAAATATATACGAGCGCGTGCACGCGTACGTGCACGCTACAGTTGGAGCTTTATCGTTTAATTATTACGAGATGATAATAACTAAATATTGCTTGTTTTGTTCTCGAGGCGATTAGTAGTCCTCGTTTGTCCGGTTTCTCTCGATATTTCACTACTTTCAGCGTATGTATTTACATGGTCTTTACTTCCGTCTGCCTCTCTACGCGCTTCTTCTCTCTTCCGTCTTTCCTCTCGCTCTATTAGCTTTCGTGATTCAAAATCCTAAAGCGCCTAGATTCCTCCTCTATCTCTCCGTTTTACTTCGTTATTCATTTATAGTGCTTTCAAAATGCAGGCAAGGTAGGAAATCGATGCAAAATGTACAGAATGACACTCGGGCTATATAAGAAACATCACTAGGAATCACGATCATCACCAAAGAAAATTATTGCTGTAACACGCTGTATTATTGCATAATGAATCCCAAGATGTTTTTTTTCAGGTCGCTATTTCTTTCCTTATTGCTCGTGTTTCCCAGTGTCGTTCCTTATGGCGTGAAACATGCGCGCAGACTCCTCATACAACACGGGTGCTGAAAGTGCGTAAACCGTAACGCGCTGATTCTGAGGAGTACGTGGAGCCTGATCACGGCATCATCTTGAGCGTTGCGGTGATCCAACCGCTAGAGTAGCGTACGCTACATTATATGTATAGAATTCGACATCCCATAAAATGCCCGCGCATATAATCGTTGCCTGATTATTAAAGAGGGTATATTAGCAAATCATAAAGAGTATAAAGGCCCTGCGGATTTATACGGTACATCGTCTCGCATTTGTCTCGCGAATCGAGTTCGAATGCTCGTTAAATTTATATAATTGTCGAGGAGAATCTTTTCGTTCGAGTGCGTTTGACATTGTCCGGCGGGCAGAGACAGATGTTGGATAGTACAATATAATAAATATTCGGGAATGGAGAAACAAAGATCATCAGTTTCGCAAAAATTTCAAATGGGCGTCACGGTTTTAGCGGAGGAGAGATTGTGCGTTTTCTCGCTACGTCCCGAAAAATGAAAGAATCAATTGGGAATATTTTTTTTTTTTTTTTTTTTTTTTTTTGTGGTTTATTTTTTTTTGAAAGAGCTTTTTGATAATATT